GTGGTGTGTGTGTGTGGCCAGCTCAGCCCACCAGGGGGCGCGACTGGCTGGCATGTGGTGCTGGGGGATTGAACCGCGGTCCCTGATGCTTTACAAAGCTTGTTCTAAGTAGGTGCTTTAGACCACTGAGCCATCTCTCCAGCCCCTTCACTCATTCTAATTGTTCTTTAAACATTGGTTTAGGGCCAGCGAGATAGCTCAGGGGACTAAGCACCTGCTTAGGCAAGCGCAGAGACTGGAGTTCGTATTCCCAGCACCATGTGCCAGGCGGGCCCCACCCTTGGGTGCACTGAGCCAGTACTGAGTCCAGGTGTAGTGGTGCACACCTGTAATTCCAGCTCTGGGGAGGCTGAAAACAGGAAGATCACTGAGTCTGAGCTGCATAGGGAGACCCTGTACCAACCAAATACATTAAAAAACAACAACAGCAGCAACAAAGAAACATAGATTTAATGTGCAACTCTAGGAAATTAGTTGTTTTTTGTCATAGTCACATTGAGAATATGATATAGCAATGTCAAAGCTGTTGGGGTTGATAAAATGTTATGAATTCAGATGTACACAAACAAAAGCTTTTCTGTAACTTAGAAATATGAAAATAATATTGAGTATACTTCGTGTTATTTGAAATAGTGAACACTTTTTAGGTATTATTTCATCTTGACCCCACTCTTTAGCATAAATGATGTTATTCCACTTTTAGATGAGGAAACTGAGGCACAGGGATAGCATTAAGTGGGTAGGCTAAACTTTTGTATTAAATGCCTTGTAGGGACTTTGCCGGATAGCTCAGTTGTTTAAAGCACCGCTTGGGCAAATGCAGTCTGGTGCATAGGACCACGGTTTGATTCCCAGCTCCAGAAGCTACAGCAGACTTGCTCTTCAGGCAAAAACCCCAAACCAAACCAAAACAAAAAATTCTTAAATGTCTTGTAATACTTCAGACGTAATAGAATTCTTGCTTGTTCGACAGTACTGGGCAGCGGTTTTAGGTCAATTACACGTAGTAGTGTAGCATTTCAAGTTCTTTCTATTATTTTAAGCTCCTCCCCCTTTTGGGCTTGTGGTTGAGGCTGGCTCACTGTGTCCAGGGGAAGGCTTGTGAATATGCTGTCTGGCAGGCCTGGCCTGGTAGCTGTGTACCTCTTCTCTGTTCATGTTCCATTGGGGGAAAATTCTTTCGTGTAGTAGCCCTCTTCTCTGGAGACCAGGTTGAGAAATGTGACCTACCATTTGTCCAGGAGGAAGAGAACAAATGTGGGAGAAAGGCTGGCGTCTCTGGTACAAGAACCAGTGCTCAGCCAGCAGCAGCTCACCTTGGACTCGACTGAAGGTCATAGTGTTTTTTGTTCTGACATAGACGTATGTTGTCATACTGTACAGTCCATGCATCACTCTTTCTTTTTTTTTTTAATTTTATTTATTTATTTATTTAT